TCTCCAACTATCTTCAAACTTCCAAACTCCTTAGTTGTCCCTAAACCAGAATCAGCCGCCCCCTTAATCTTCTCTTTTGTCTGGACTCTAGTATTTTCCACCTCCTTAAGAACTTCCTTTGCAAAATCCTCTCCCCCCACGAAGAATAAACCTAACAATTTGCTGACCCTCACCCCTGTGTTCAGCACCCTTTCCATATCCGTAGATTTCTCAACTTCATGAGTCTCATCTATGGCTACTTCTTCCTACTTTGTACCTGTTGCTCCATCCTCTTCACCTGATTCTACATCCTCTTGCAAAGGCCTAGTTCTGTATTTTTGTTTTTGTTTTCGTTTTCGTTCCCTTATGTAGACACTTGACAAAGACTTTTTTTCTTTTCCTCATCCTCTTGATCAATGGTCTCTACTTCTTCCTTAGAGACCTAGAGGCCACCATTTTTCATCTCAAACCCTGTTTGAACTTCGTCCCTGTCTCCCCCTCCTCCATGTTCATTCTCCCCCAAACTGTTCTCCCTTCCACCCTCTTTTTTTTTTTTTTTTTCAAATTCCGGCTCTTCCAATATCTTTAAGTCATCTTCTTTCGTGAAAATTTCTCCCGGCTGAATCCACTCCATGACCTTGGATTCTGATCTTCCAACGCAGCATTTCCTTTTTGACACCTCCCTCACATCTGGTCGAGGGAGCCAAAATTCATAAGCCTAAAATATTGGAGCAGTCACCTAATCTTTCGTTGATACAAGGAGGTTTCTCAGATTCACCGTTTTCATTTTTAAGAGCAGACTCGCTGGGATTATCCAGCGAGTCGCTACAAGACCCCTGAAAGTCTGAAACCTGCCCAGTGCAGACCACTCGTCCCTATGACCTGAACCACTCTCTTTTCCTGGTTCAAAGTCTGGCTTAATCGGGTCAGATAACAAGCGACATTAAACTATCTACCCCCTCTTGTTTATCGAACATTGTTCAAATCTTCCTTCGCCCCTTCTTCTTCCATGCCTATCACATTAATCGAGCGTCTCTCTTACGATCTTTGTTTGCCACATGGTCCACGCCCTACCTCGTCAGCTTCATCTTCAGCCTCTCGCCCTTCCCCCCACAGCGACACGACGCGATCCAGACCTTCGTCCAAGCTCCATTTGTGAAGACATCAATTGAATGAGGAACTTCATCCGGCTTCACTCCATCAATTTTCACCGCTGCATAGTAGAGATTTGAGGTGTTACAAGATATGAATATCCCTCCCATCGCCATTGCTACCTTCTCCAACACCGGTTTCTTCCACAGATTGAAAGGGAATCCAACCAATCTGATAGTAAAAGGCTTCAGTATGAAACACCTTGTTGTTGCAGGCGGCAGTCCATTTTTTCACAAGAATAACGTCTAACTCAGTTTCAAGCCTGTCAAAATCCACTGTTTTTTCTTCGTCTCCTTAGGCGCATGTCTCAGCAACACAAAACGAGGGTTTCGCTCGTTATAGGACTTGACCAAACATCTCACGACACGAGCTGACGACAGCCATGCGATCCCGCTCGTGAAGGCAATGAAGTGATCCTCCTCGCAGAGTCCCAAACCAGTTGCAGCTTGCCGAGTACGGAAGGAAATCGTCGGAATTGGGTAGAGTTTCCGATACCGATGCCGAAGCACGGACCTTAGATCGAACCGAAGGC